TGATGTAATCTTCTACCAAAAAGTACATTATCAAGTTGTGCTAGAATCTCCCATCCCATGGGTAATGGAAACTTAGTCTTAATGGAAACTTAGTCTTGATGTGAACTGCTTATATCATAAAAATAGTTGTTGAGAGAGTTTGGTCAACATAGAAGATGAGTGGTGAGATAACGATAACTACTATGTTCGGGGTGATGGAAGGAGTAATGAAAAATAACGGATGATAAGGAGGATAATGAAAAAAAAAGTTTTGCTAATGCGTTAAGTGAAATGTACTGTGAAAAAGAAATGTGGTGGTAAAGAAGTGTGTGAAAACAAAAATAAAATAAGAAACTCAATAAAAAAAGTCAAAATAATGAATGTGATCACTTTTCAAAAATTATTAACATAAATTTAAAAAAAAATAACTAAACCGAAAATCTTAATAAAATAGAAAATGAATTTAAAAATCACATTAAAATTAATTCCAAATATTAAATCCAAAATACTAAATTAATTTATCGATTATTATGTTAATGAATAAGATATGAAAATAAGAAACAAAACTCGACATTTATGTTATGTTAGTGATTTAATTTTTATTGTTTAAAACAAAAGAAAACATAATATTTGAACTACAATCATAATTCATCAATAGCAAGTTTTACAAGTTGTGATATGAGGAAAAAATATATATATTGATTAATTAACACGAAACACAGTGTATCGCAGTTGCCGTCTTAGCTCAGTGGTAGAGCGCGTGGCTTTTAACCACGTGGTCGTGGGTTCGATCCCCACAGTCGGCGATACAAAGTTTTTGATCTTTTTAGTTTTATTTTATTATAATTATTCAATTTTAAACTATTTTCATGTTTTATCAATTGCGGGGATAGCTCAGTTGGGAGAGCGTCAGACTGAAGATCTGAAGGTCACGTGTTCGATCCACGTTCACCGCATTATTTTTGTAGTGTTTGATACATTTTAGTAATTTTTAAATTTAATTAACGTTCTATTTTTAATATTATGATGGTTATATTATTTTTCACTTATTTCTTTTAATATATTCTATTTATATTTCTATTCATTTTAAAAAATATCTAATGTTTTCTTTTTTATTTTAATGAACGTTTATTTTATTAATATTTTATTTTTTCCTAGTCATGTATATATAATCATGCAATAAAAAACCGAATTTACAAATGATTTAGTAGGTTTTTTTATTACGACATTACTAAATATACTTATTACTAAATATACTTATTGAATATATTAATTGTTTGATAATAAAAATGACTTTATCTTTTAATATAATTGATATTTATTATATTACTTCTTGAAATTATAAAGATTTTTGTTAATGAGATATTATCACCTAACTCGTTATCTATTTTGCAAAATAAATAATAAAACAACCAAATAAAAAACATGGTTAACTAATGAGCAAAAGAAACATCATTAGACAATTTAGAAACATAACAAATATCAACTAAGCATTTATAAGATACCAATCTCATATAAACTCATAGTTTCAATTGACACTAGACTCAGTTATCTAGATACATGTCTCTGATACAGGACTTCACTGTAGGTGTGCACTTGTAATAATATTATAAACACAGTTGTTATCATCTTACTACTCACAATGTCAGTCTCTTTCACGTCTCAGTCTAAGGTTGAGATCTCCTGCCATTGTCTCCCCCACCTCGTTCCTCTCTATATGAGTTGAATGATTGATAGTATATCAAGATACATACTTTCAGTACTTTCATACACTAAAAATCACCACTACACATAATTTCTCATTGGAATTCTCTCACAAATATAATAAAGGTGGCGCTTTGCAATAGTCCTGACGCCTAGTGAAAATCTTGACGCCCAGTGTCAGACCATTCGCAAAAGGTGGCGCTCAACGATAGTTGTGGCATTCAACATCATTCTTCTCACAAAACGTCGCTCTCAATGACACCTTCTTGTTGCTTAATGTCTTGAAACTAAAATTGATCCAGACTTGCAATGCGATGTGGTGCTCAACAATGTCCTGCCATAGTTTAACACTAAAAAATTCGCAAAAATTGTCGTTCAATGGTGAAAAGGGACGCTCAATAGTCTCGAGAAAAATTGCTTCCAAACTTGCACAGCCAAGCTTGCACTCAACCCTACACTAGTATTGGTTAATGTCACACCATAATTCAGCATACTCAGATTTGGAATTTAAGTTAAATGATACCGAATTAATTGCTCAATTTGGTATTCTTTTTCCACATAAATGGTTCAACACAATTCGTATATTAAACTCGACCAATTTATATAATTGCTCAGTTCTCTTAACCACACCAGTCCAAACACAACTCAAAACTCAATTCAATTAACAAATCACATCATTCAATTCAACACAAAAACATCAATCAGACTCAACAACATGCCAATATCAATAAGAAATATCCAACTCATGCACATAAAAACAACTAGTTTCCCTTACATGAAAGATGATCAAATAGTTCTAAAACCTTAAAAACACCTTTAAATGCACAAAAAATCATATATGCAACTATAAACAACAGAAACACGGTCAGGACACACCATTAAGACTACTAATTAATAAATACTCCTATAAAAGACTCGTACTCCACATACAAACTATAATAGTTCACATGCACCAAAAAAATACACTAACTAAGAAAAAAATAGAAAACTAACTTACTTTATTTGAAAAATCAATTGAATGGAAGTGAGAAGCTCGTTTAGAGGATCACTTGAGAGTTTTTGGAGAAATGAATGGATAATTAAAAAGTTTAAAAAAAAAAGGTAAAGAGTTATAAGAGGAAAAAAATTTAAAGATATGATACAATATAAAACTCGTTTATAAAATTCTATTTATACTTTAAACTTTTATCATTAAAATAATTAAGTTTCATCATTCTATATACACTATTAATTATAAAATGTCATTTTTCCAAGCATTTACATCTTACCATTAAAAATCAAATATTCGTTCAATTATATTTTCTATTAACAAACTTAAAACAAAAATTATTATTTTTTGTATTATTATTATTTTTATCATACTAAAAAAAAGTATGTCAATATGTATTACACTATTTTTGTAATCATATTAAAGATAAAATATGTCAATATATATAACACTAAACGAATGTTTATTCTTTTTTTTTTAATTTATAGTGCTTTAATAATTAAAAAAATTGAATTGCGTAATGTACTCTTATAAATATAATACACTTTGTATGTTTATACACCTTGATCAAAATTAAGATAGATTAACATCATAAAATGTTATTATTATAAAACAATTCCGTTAAAGTTCATCACAAAAAATAATCTAAAGTAATTTTATTCCACTAATAATTTATAATAGAAAAAAAAATCATTCTCATAAACTATATATGGATGTATGTAAGAAAAGACATTCACCATTTATGATTTTTCTTTCCTTCATGTATAAATGACACAATATAAAAATGTAAAACCCAGTTCAAAATTCAATTTTCTTAATAATCAATTTCTAAACTAATTTTTCTTGTAAAATTACATTTAGTCAGTGAATTTAATTTTTTCAATTAATTATATAATATATGATTAATTATACAAACATAAGAAAAAACTTAAAAAAATAAAATAAAAAAGATAAAAACAATACGTAATGTTTAGAAAGACGTGGTCATTTATACAAATATAACATTAAAAATGAAATTAAATTAATTCAACACAAAATAAAAATAAATAAAAAATCAGAGTGAATAAAAATAATAAATGTAAACTAAATATTAATATTCATTTAAAAAGTTGGTACAGTACTGAAGCAGATAACGAGGATCATGATTTAGTACAGAGTGCAACCTGTTTCACTTTCAGGCACTAACACACTCTCGTCCGAGGCCATGTGTTCCATTCCCCGATGAAAAAGCTCCATATCATCCATTTATTTATTATTTATTTGGATATAAGCAAAATATTTTTAATATTTTTTAATATTGTATATATTTGATTTAATTAATTCTCTTAATAGAAAAGTTTATATTTTGAAAAATACACCTAAAAAAATTATGGGACCATACTATTACGGCTTGTATATTTTTATTAATTAAATCAATTATACATGTTAATAATTTTTTATTTAATTAAATTTTAAATCTCTCATAAATGTAGTTATTTTATAATTAAATTTTTATTAGTACTTAAATTATTTATATTTTCTGTTGAGATTTTATGTTTAATTTTATTTAAGTGAGTGATTAATTATTATTTTATTTTGTTATCATACTTACTTATCTTTATGTATTAAAATATGTAAAATTCTCTCATTAATATAAAATAATGTTATGATTGTTTTAAAAAATAATTAACCTTTATTATTTTCATTAAAGATACATTAAATAACAATAATTATGTTAGATAAGAATGAGAGTCCCAAAATATTAATATAATAGTAATAATAAATAATAATATGGAGCTTGTTTCTTTGTAGGTAATAACCTAAAAACTATTGGAAGATAATTTCGTAATTCAACAACTTTATCAATATTAAAATAACTCATTATTTATCTCACATCCAAATATAATTATTGTATTAACATTAAGATTTAAATAAAATATATACAAACTTTTAATTACTCAATAAATAAAAGAAATTCAATTAACAATATCTTAATTTACTAGATTTTAAAGATTTTATTAACTAAAAATCTTCACTCAACTAGTAGAGTCGCGAAGTCCTAGTCAGAGGCTTCTGATCAGTAATGACAGTGTTGAGTTGAAGGTCAATTAGTCACTCAATGCAATAAAAAACCCAAAAATTCAGAATATCATAATTAGGTTTTGTCCTTTGATTCCTTCTTCTTTCCTGTGGTCAAAGAGATCCATCTTCAAGGAACTTCCAATTTTTTCTCAGGTTAATTTGGGTGTTATCCATGTTCTGTGTATTGTTTTTATTTTGCTGCATTTGTAGTGGGAATTGTGTTATTTCTTTCTTCCAGAGTTATTATGTATAATGTTTTCATTTAAAGCTTTCTTGAACTGCATTGGGTCGCTCAGTGCTGTTCTTCGTGGTAGAGTGGTTAAAGGGGGAAAACATGATCAGGGCTTAGCGATTTTTGTGGAGCTGAAGGCATCGACTTTCGAAGGAGCTCCCCGTTTTTGAGAGTTAAATTCTGTCTTATTTCCTCCCAATTTGCCAATAATTTCCTTTTCTCATGCATCTGTTCTTCAACGGTGTTTTTGTTTTTCTGTTATCGGTGCATATTTGATTTCGCTTATTTTTTGGTGGCAATGTAATTTTTTCCTTCCGAAGTACACCACGTTGGAGTTTGGTCAATTCCAGACTAGTAGGACGTAGGGGAAAATGAAGTCGGGTTATTGTCGACGAAGGACTAGTGTGCTGGAGTTGTTGATTTATCAGCTGTTTTGAATTTTTCAGTGAATAATGTGTGGTTTGCTGATTGCTTCATGCATGGCTGTGAAATTGGAATTATCTGTGTGCTTCAACGTATGCTGCTGAATATATATGTATTGTAAATCCCTTTTTTAGTGTGGAAAAGTTATTGCAGCTTGTTACTCTGAATTGTTCTGTCTGTCACGCTTCTGCGTCTCTATTATGTGTGTGTTCATGCTTGATCTGTTTCACAGTGCGCAGTTCCAGTTTCAGCTTGAAGGAAGCTTATAGTTTCTTATTTATCCAGTAATGAAGTATTTGTCAGATAAAGTGATTGTAGTAAAGTTTCTGTTCTAGTTTAGTGCTTTTCCCTGACACTGAATCCAATAATTAATGGAATTTGTAGGCACTTTAATAGAACAACAGTCAGTTCTACTGCTACGTTTTCAGGCGGTAGAATAATAATAATACGCCGTGGAGGAACGGTAATGGCTCAAAGCAGCTCTGATGAGGATACTGATATTAGTGAATCTGAAATCAGTGAGTACGAAGATAAATCCTATGAAGAACTGAAAAGTGGAAGTCAGAATTTAAAAACATCGGATGAGACTTTCACTTGTCCGTATTGCCCTAAAAAGAGAAAACGGGATTATTTGTACAAGGAGCTCCTCCAACATGCTTCTGGGGTGGGTCAGAGTAGTTCGCAAAAGAGGAAAGCTAGAGACAAAGCTAATCATTTGGCTTTAGTGAAATATTTGGAAAATGATCTCATGAATGTAGATGTTCCATCAAATGATTCAAAACCGGAAGAAGAAAGTGATTCTTCTGTTAATTCTAATGATCAGTTTGTGTGGCCTTGGATTGGAGTTGTAGTTAATATTCCAACTAGACGGACAGAAGATGGACGTTGTGTTGGCGAGAGCGGTTCCAGGCTGAGGGATGAGTATAGAAGCAGGGGGTTCAATCCAGTTCGAGTCAATCCTTTGTGGAATTTCCGGGGTCACTCTGGAACTGCTCTTGTGGAGTTCAATAAAAGCTGGCCAGGCTTAGATAATGCAATGGCATTTGAAAGAGCATATGAATTAGATCATCATGGGAAAAAAGATTGGTTTGGTAATTGTGGGCAGAAGTCTGGTCTTTATGCATGGGTTGCCCGGGCTGATGACTACAAAATGAACAGCATTTATGGAGAATATCTGCGGAAAATGGGTGATGTCAAAACCATATCTGAGCTCATGGAAGAAGAAGCTCGAAGGCAAGATAAACTCGTATCCAATTTGAATAACATTATTCAGGTCAAGAACAAGCACATAAAAGAGATTGAAGTGAGATACCATGAAACTACACACAAAATGAACCTTGCTATGATGGAAAAAGATAATCTCATTCAATCTTACAATGAAGGTATCTATTTTTATTGAGCCTTAGGAACAAATAGCAACAAATGCATATTAGTTGAGTCCCTGTAGGGGTTCACATCATAGGATTTTGCATTCAGAAATTTATTTTTAAGAATATTGTGCTGGAATTCTATTTTTTATTTTTAAATGTTGACATTTTAAAATGGCACCGATCTGTTGTAACAACATTTTTTTGCTATGGTTCCTTGGCTTCAGAGATACAGAAAATACAGTCAACTGCCAGGGATCACTTCCAGAAGATTTTTACTGATCACGAAAAGCTCAAAACGCAACTGGAGTCTCAGAAAAATGAGCTTGAGTTACGGAAAATTGAATTAGAAAAACGTGAGGCGCACAATGAAATTGAAAGAAAAAAGTTGGCAGAAGAAATCGAGGAGGTATAGTGTTTTTCTTATTTTGCTGCATCTCATATAGTGTGGTATGATTGAAATTCCTGTTAAGTTAAGATTGGGGAAATAATGTTATTATTTTAGGTTGATTGATTATTAAGGTTGAAGTTTAGGTATTTCAATGCTTTAGAGGAAGGTGTTAGCTACCAAGATCAATCTTTTTCCAATTTTTCCTTGTTGGGTTTGATGATAGTGATGATTGGTTATTGTTATTTAAATTTGTGGATCAAAATTTCTGATAATAATGGAAATATGATGAAACTGGTTTTGATTTGGCGTATATGCTATTCTAGGCTGTGAATTGGAAATAAGCTAATGTTTCTATTGATGGTGCATTTGCCTATAAAGTAAACCGTTTTACTATTCAATCCTTGGTGGCACGGTACATAATTTGTCTATCTGATTTTGATCTAGGAAGTGATCCTGTGCCATGTTTTGCCACAGGAGATACTCTAAATTGATGGCACTGATATATAATAGTAATGATGGAGTATTAATTTAAATTATGACATGCATTCAGTGAGATGTAATTTGGGAAGTGAGAGGGGCTGGAAGTAATCAATCTTGAGTAGTATGCCAAAGAATTTCTTTCTGCCATTAAAGAGTTTGCTAAAGGACTATATCAATAATTCTTTTTATATACTCGATTATTGCTGTATCTTTTAAATCATTTAAGTAAAGAAGTGCTTAAGGAGCTTGTGGAAGGCTTTGTTTAACACTGCCAACATTTATTGGTTTTGCAGAATGCAACAAAAAATAGTTCTCTTCAGATGGCTGCTATTGAGCAAAAGAAAGCAGATGAAAATGTTATGAAACTGGCTGAAGATCAAAAGGTGTGTGGTGCCCATCTTTTAGCTTTGTTAACAACCAAAAATGTCCTTGTGAGCACCAGTATGACTTAGTATAAAGCTATTTATATTTTATACAGAGGCAAAAAGAGCAACTCCATGCTAAAATCATTCAGCTTCAGAAACAACTCGATATGAAACAAGAACTGGAGTTGGAGATTCAGCAATTAAAAGGATCTTTAAGTGTATTGAAGCACATGGAAGATGACGAAGATGTTGAAATTCTGAAGAAAGTAGATAATTTACAAAAGGATTTAAGAGACAAGCAACTATCACTTCAAGACCTTGATCAACTTAATCAAGCACTAATAATTAAAGAGCGCGAGAGTAATGATGAGCTGCAGGAAGCTCGACAGGCATTGGTTGATGTAAGTGTGCTTCTTTCAACTATATCTTCCTGCTAATTCTTCAAATTAATTTGCAAGGGCATCTGAATGAGGTTCAGTCCAGTGTCGTTGTGCTTTCACTTGGCTTATGGGCTGGTAGTGTTTTGTATGGTGATCTTGCTCACCCCATATGGAGTGTTATATGAATTGAAGCACATATGGTCTGACAAGTTTAAAGCATTCCAATTTTTTCTTTTATTTGGTTCACTGCTTGTTAGTTATAATTCATAGCAAGGCAGCAAAGGGACGAGTAAAATTAATGTTCAAAATTAATTTGCAAAGTGACGTCTTACTGTTCAATATTGCTTTCAAGATTTAATGGTAAAGGTTTTTTTTTTCACTTGCAGGGAGTTAAAGAGTTACAACCTCTTGGAAATATTCGTTTGAAGAGAATGGGGGAACTTGACACAAGTCCATTCCTTGAGGCAATGAAGAAAAGATACAATGAAGAGGATGCTGAAGAGAGAGCTTCAGAACTGTGCTCGTTGTGGGAAGAGTATCTGAAGGACCCAGATTGGCATCCACTCAAAGTTATCATGGTTGATGGGAGAGAAAAGGTGTTTCTATATTAAACATATTTATAATTCTCCTGAAATTATCCTTAGTGCTTCATTGCATGTTTCTCTTAATCAAACTTGGTTCACTATGTTATTTATTATTATTGTGTTGTGGAAGAAGACAGTTAATGTTTTGATAGTTTCCGTACTCTGCGTTATGATTGTTTGTCTTTCTGAACCTGTAATACTTTCACAGGTTAACCTTTAAAATGAGCAAAAAAAAAAGGATTGATGTAAATTTATGTTCTAATCTTTTATCTATTATATATTATTATAAACTTTAGCTAACTTTCAATTTATAAATACAAATTTTCTCTACCCTCTCCCACAGAAATCCTACTCCGAAATACACCCTTAGGTTTGGTGTTTAACGGCATAGAGGAATGCTTGCGCTGATTAGAAGAGTCGTATATGTTTATTGACTAAGTGGAGAAAAATGATTTGACCACTAAGAATAGCAGCCTATTTGTTAATGTTTAAGTTTTAAATAACCTTTCAAGACACGCCACTCTGTTAACATGGCCAGTTCAGGCGTTTATGAAAAACTTCAGTCATGTAAAATGTCAAAGGTAAAACCTAGCCTAGCTTAACTCATCTCCACACTCTAATGTCATTTTCTCCTTATGATTTTGTAAGCCTGAGAGGCTTGCACGGCCCAAATAAAGTACTTTGCAAAAATTTGTGTTATGTTCAAATATGAAAGAGGTACGAGTATATTTAGCTGATAAGGATTGGTGTGGGAAGGATGACATTCGTTTGAGAGAATCAGAGCTGATAAGAATGGCCTCCCATAAGTTTTACGAACTGATGCTTTTAATTCATTTTAACGTAAACTTATTTTAAAAATTTCTCTTAATTTATAAGCTGGACATTTGCATTTTGTCATCTGGCTTCACGCATCTATTATTTCAGGAAATTATTAAAGATGACGATGAAAAGCTGAACGGGTTGAAAAATGACCTGGGTGAAGGCGCGTATAAAGCAGTGGTGGAGGCATTGTTAGAAATTAATGAACATAATCCTAGTGGCCGGTACTTAACCTCAGTATTATGGAACTACAAACAAGGAAGGAGAGCAACTCTTAAAGAAGGAGTGCAATTTCTGTTAAATTATTGGAAAAAACGCAAGAGGGGAACGACATGAAGGTTTGTATATAACTATATTAGGT